CAAAAGCTACAATTGGCTTCTCTCACTCTGCCCCCAAACTCCATTGTAAGATATGGAAAAAATTACGCACAACATGCGGACCAAATTCGTAACAGATCGTAAAGAATCATACAGATCTCGAAATGACAATCTCAAAAATCGTTATCATCAGGGTTCTCAATTTCATAAATGTTTAACCATTTTCATCACAGGATACGCATGAGACATTTGATAAACAGCATTAACGTCGTGCTTACTGCAACTAAACATTCACCAACTTTTCAATCTGTTATTACGACTGAACTCATTTTTGAGTAGCTTCCCTAAGATCTGCGGCCCGCTATAAAGGATCCTCATTACACGAAAACAAAAAAACCGGATTAAGATTTGTGAAAAGGTCGTGAAACCAGCTCTCTAAAAACGATTTCTCCACTCTTCTGCAGTAACGTGTTGCCAAGATTTTTTCAGCTTCGGACTTTGGCTCATGTTACATCATCTCCCGCAGTTTTTATCGGGGATTTCTACTAAAATTATAGAATCGATCTTGTAGTTTTTTCAAGAAATTTTGATAATGGTGACACTCCAATAGAGGATGATTTCTCTACCAGATTTGACGCTCTTATGCAAAGTACCTTAAATTCTCATGTTCAAAGTCATTGCATTTCATATCACTTCTTGCTATTTCGACGCTACGACATCTCTTGATTTATGTTACTTTGCAATCAAAATATTCGTGTCAATGTTGATGAAAATTCTGAACAAGTTTTATATTTTAAACATAACAAATCACGTTGATGAATACATGAATATATTATACATATATGTATAAGGAAAAGGATCACATGGGGGCAGAAGTCGTAATATAGTAGTCCCTGAAAAAATACAAAAAAAAAAAAACGAGTATAAACAAGTGAATTTAAACACTATCAAAAAGTGCAGTAATCAACAGAACCTGTTAAAGGCACTAATATTTATGCTCATCATTTTTCTTTACGTACACTGATACTTATTTTTATGTACAGTGATGTAGAAAAAACATCAAATACTTCACACAGTATATCACACAGCAAAATCAAGTTCAATTTAATGCATAAACAAAATAGTAAAAAACCTGCAATATATCTCCATTGGCTCGTTGAACATACTATTCCAATCCTCTGCTACTCACTTTGATTTCAGGTACCGTCGATCAGTGCACTGGGCATCCACACCCATCCCAATTCTCGGCCACTTGACCATTTACAGATACCACACGATCTTCCAATAGGTCTACAGATTCCGTCGATCCACGGATGGGTGTAGAACCACCAGCTGCTATCCATCTTCGTCTGGCAGAGCAGTGACCGTGAATGAAAAACCATGAGCTGACACCCATCCTGTCGTCTCGCCTCACAGAGTTGTCCTCGCACCTCCGTCAACATGAAAAAAGAGTCACCGTTCACTATGTAAAACCGTATTAAGAACTAATATAAAAACGCTTTTGTCTCAGTAACTAGACCTCTGGAATAAATTCTTCCGCAGATTTAGTTGACTGATCCCGAGGTGAGTTCAGTACAGAAGACGAGTCGAACAACACCACAATGTACATCAGTACAGACTCAAAGAAATTAAGATCAAAAACAAACATACCGGAAAGTCCAAAGTGACTTCTTCCACCACGTCCATCAGAAGCCACAACGGACTTCTCCTCACTCTGCCCCAAGCTCCATTGTGAGTTCTGAAAAAAAACTACTCACAACATGCAACAGATCGTAAGAAATCATATAGATCTCGAAATAACAATCTCAAAATTCTGATGGTATCTTTATCATAAGGCTTTTCAATTTCATAAATTTAATACAAGACGATGGTAAATAGTTACATTATGCTACCCAAGCTTGAAAAAGCTTGGAGTACACAGCAACATGCTAAAAACAACGGCTCACCAGTAAATTTCCCTGACAGTACTATCTTTATAAAAAAAAAAAAATGAGATGCCGAAATCAAGAGAACCACAAAATGAATCGATTACTTCTATGAAAATTCACCATTTCTAATGTCAATCTTTTGTTCGACCTTTATAGTCAAAATAGTGCCCCCCTAAATGTAAGCATCAAAATAAAGCCATAATATAAAAAATAATTTCAATTCTGTACACTAAATATTTAATTTCCAATTGTGTCTGCGACCTCAAATTACTACATGACCGAGAAAAAGAACTCCTCTAAACTACACAATTCTTATAATTAAAACGTCGAGAACCATGCATCGCATTTTAAACGAACAAAAAAATGTCCCCGAAAAACAAAAACCGATATCCAACTCCATTTACTGCAACCAAAGAACAACGCCCACCGCCCCCTCAGATGAACACCCCGCACCGCCAATTCACCAAAACAACAATGGCAATGGTACTTCGAGGGAAACAGTTAGAACGTGGTGACAAAATAATAGCGCTATATCGTACTTACAAATTGCTAATATGCTTCCGAGTAACAAAACATTCTGAACAGGAACTGTGAAATTGTTGGAAATCCAACAACTGGTTGGAGCAGTGCAGGTGGATAACAGCAACTAACTGGATTAACAGCTATTTATTCGTCTTTTACCTGAGAAATAACAGTTAATCTGCCACACTAAGCATCCACCCAATGCTCTGTCACACAAGCAACAATGGCACTTTTTTGCACCTGGTTTAAGCTAATAAAAAAGCCTTCACTGAAGGGGCAGCTAATATCCTATCTGAGAAGTATGAAGCTGGAATGACCATCAGTCTTCACATCCAATTTTAGGAATAATATAGTTTTTCGTTTTTTCTTGAATTCGTATTAATTAACAAGCAATTTTTTGAAAGATTGTTGTACCCAATATTGAATTCGGATTTCATTATGTAAATTATTTGCTTCTTCTATTACAAATAAGATATTGTTTTGCCTATTAATTTGTTTAATATTAAGCATCAATAGCAAAAGTTTGGAACATTTTGAATTTATAGAATAAATTGATATTTGTGGAACATTCGTTTTCTTATTTTTTTTTTGTTTATTAACAATGCATGATTAGTTAAAGTTGCCTAAAATTAATTCTTTTTTATCGATTTTTTTAACTTTGACATTACCATTAAAAGGATTTAAATATTTTCGGGAACTAAAGAAATGATCTGAAGATATATATATATGAACACGTTAAAGAAGTAGATATACAAGCTCTCATTCACCTTGCACATACATATACAAATATATTAATAAAGTGAATCTATCAATTGAGATATTCAAGGAGTTGAGGTTTGTATTCGTAATATAGCGCAATTCTATCCAAGCCGTAGTTGATGTAATCAAATGAAATAGGTAGTGATTTATCAGCCAAGAAAAATGACCAAATGGACCAAAACAGGTGAGATACGGCAGGAAAACGACGTGCTTCAACAAATAGTTTTTGAATTTCGGCTTCGCGATTCAAAGATAAATTCTTAATTGGATAGAAATTGTCGCCATTTCGCTTTTGCTATAACAAAAACTTCAAAAGTTTTCTTTTAAAAATACTAGCGCTAGTATAACTGAAAGGGAATTTATGTTTTAATATCAACTTCAAAATAAATTTCAAGTTTTAAAATTTATTGGAAAAACGAAGTTGCATATAGCGTACATCC